TGTGTGTGTGTGTGTATATATATATATATATATATATGTATGTGTGAGTATGTGTGTGTGTGTGTGTGTATATTTTGAACTACTATGTTTTGCCCATTTGTCAGGAAAAAGTTTCTAATAATTTAAAATATAATAAAATACAGGATAACTTATTCTTTTAAATATTTTAACAAGTACAGGTCAGAATAAGTATGTTGTTTCATTTTTACATAAATATGTATGTTATGCTAAATGCTGATGGAACATTATTTCACCTATATTTTAGCATTTTATTTTCAAAAAAGTTATTTGAAACATTAAAATGTGACGTGTTTATATATATATATATATATATATATACAGTATATATATATATATATATATATAGTTTTTCTCCAAAAAGATTTAAAAGTTTTCTGTTTAATTTAATTGCAATTTTGTTTTTCTGAGCAAAAAATAAATATCATAAATTTTTCCCTGATTTACAGAAGAGACCCACTAAAATGTCATTCAGTGTAACATTCTTGTCAAGCATATTTACAACAAAAATCAATTTATGACATATTAAAAGACTAATTACTTTCACCCCAAATACTAATTAGTTGTAATTTTACATTTTTTTAAATTTGCCACTATCCTAGGTTTTGCCCATTTGTCAGTAAGAATTTTTACTCATTTAAAACACAATAAAATTGTATATGCTCCCTTATTCTTTTATATATGTTAATATGTACAAGTCAGAATAAGCATGTTGTTTGAATTTTTACATAACTATAAGTGTTACACTGAATGACAATGGAACATTATTTCAACCAAATGTTAACATTTTATTCTCCAAAAACTTATTTGAAACCTTAAAAGTAGACATTTTACTTGCATGTAATGTGCTTTCCATGGACATATAATCACTTTTGTAATTTCTTTTAATGCGGACATCTTAACGTCTTTGACCCATATATATATAATTTAAAGTATAATGTATAATAAATGTGATTTATTGTCAATATATTTTTTCTTATGGATAATAATTGAAATTTTGTCATAGGACATATGAATGCAATCAAATGACTTTATTTTTTTTCCCTTTTGTGTCTCTTCTTTTCTCTCTCTCGTCAGCTGTAACACTTCAGTTTCAGGTTCTCGTCTCTCTCAGTCCATCACCGTTGAGGAGGACAACTGCTGTGGCTGTAACGTTCTTGCCATCCGACGACAATTTCTGGACCGAGACCTTAAAGAAGTCCAAATTGTCTACACATCCTGCCATGATGCGGTATGGCATCTTAAATTAATTCCGCAGCCCCCATGACTTAATCCTGAAAAATCCCGAGGCGTAATATCTTGTGTGATAAATGTCTGTTCACATCAATGAGTCATCGCCTGACTAAAATAGTTCAATTTGAGAACCCGTAGCTAAAGTGATAAATGTGAAACGTGTGATTAATACAAGTTATTGTCCATATTTCTGATGTGATTTGCAGGTTTATGAGACGCCCTTCTTTGTAGCAGTGGATCATGCAAAGAAAAAAGTTGTGATCAGCATCAGAGGGACGTTGTCCCCTAAGGTGGGTCAACCACATGTGTACTGTAGCAGCTCTTTCTCATTTTACACATAAGCTCATGAGGTCAGGCTTCATTGTATCTTCATCCAATTAAAATACTAGCTGTTTCTAAGCAGAATACTTGAGCAGTGACAAAAGAACGTACTTTAACACACATTTTAAGAACAAAAAATTATAATAAAGTTGTCCGGAATCAGTCGTAAAATGACACTAAACTATACATCCGACTGTAGTACTAAGCTATTGATTTCCTACAATTCTGTGCTAGTTTCTTGTTTCTCATATCACTCTGTGGTCTCTTCCATTTCACCTAATAAAATAACTTAGACTCAAATCAATATTTCATGTCCATTTATTTATTTATTTGAGAAGTAGCCATGTAATAGGTGGGCTAATGTACAGTGAGACAGTCAGTATTGTAAAATAAAGCCAGTAGTTTTTTTTGCGTTAATGGCTGGTTTGCTGTACTTTATCCCTTATGTAGATCGCCATTCAATAAATTTGTTCCCCTTTTTCTATTTTTCTCTGTCATTCTCAGGACGCTTTAACGGATCTTACTGGTGATTCTGAGCGTTTGCCTGTAGAGGAGCAGCACGGCACATGGCTCGGACACAAGGTGCTATAAAAACATGCATATTGACACATATGAACACAAAAACTTTGCAAACTCATTCCCATGAATTTTTTATTTAGGGAATGGTTTATTCAGCTGAATACATAAAGAAGAAACTAGAGCAAGAAATGATTCTCTCTCAAGCCTTTGGGAGAGATTTGGTAAGTGTAAACGTATGATTATACACGTTATGATTATTAACTTAGACATCACAGAGCTTATTTATATTATTTTCCCACAAACTGCAAAAAGTGTTCGAATAATTTTCAAAAACTTACATGAAGCGTCACTTTGACAAAAGCCTTGCAGTTTTTCTCTACATGTGTGCAACACACCATTCATGGACCAAAACAGGAATCACCATATGGCCAATTGTGATTATTAAACTTCAGAAAGCTATGATATCATTAAATACATGTTAGCACTGCTCATTCAAAGTAAAAATGCAGCACTGTTGCACTTTCTACAGGCTTTCAGTAGTAGTTTCAGTAGTAACCATTAGGCCACGCTTACATGAAGCATTAATTGCCTCCCTTTAAATGCTATTATTAATGAATGACCAAAATCTAATATCAGTCAACCTCTAATTTGTATGTATTTGCTATATAAGTACATAAACCAGCTTAAAAAACACTGTAAACTTGCAGTTACCCTGTTTTGAAGCTGAATGTATGCCTGTTTCAGTAAAAGAATCTGAGATTCATGATTTATTTTGAGATCTTTTTTATTTGTGCAGGTCTTTAAAAATGTCTCAATTTTTATTTTAAAATCAGATGCCATGAGTATGGTAACGAGACGAAGCTTAAAGTGGTAGTAAATTCAGCCCAGAAACTTCAGACAACATTTGCATGTTGCTTGCAAAATTTGCATTGTGCATGACATGATGTGACACTAAAAGATCCAGATCATGGTGTTTACGTGTGTCTCAGGGTAAAGGAACGATGCACTATGAGCTGGTGATTGTGGGTCACTCTCTGGGTGCGGGTACAGCCGCCATCCTGTCCTTCCTCCTCCGGCCCCAGTATCCTTCACTGCACTGCTATTCCTACTCCCCTCCCGGCGGCCTGCTCAGGTCAGTGTGACCTCTCTATTGTTGCTCTGGGATCCGTTTTATGCTACATTTATAGAGAAAGCTGAGAACTGATCTCCTCTGAGAGAGAGAGAGAGAAACAGCGTTTAGCCGTCACTGAAGCATGATGACATTAGATAAGAGATTTGATGTGTTAAAGGATTAGTTTGTGCAAAAATGAACATTTTGTCATTATTGTTACAACCGGATGCCATTGCAAAACTGTATTATTTTCTTTCTGCTATGAATCATAAATTTAGAAGTTCAGTTTCCACTCAAGGAAAGTGAATGGTTATTTATAAGCTCTAAAAAGCATCATAAAAATAGTCTTCTAAAGCCATAGTTATGAATTATGAGCCATAGTTATGAATACATTTATATGAGGAACAAAGCCTTTTTCACGGAAGTGGGATTCGAATTACTAACGACTAGTTCAGGCTGTTCATAACTTTATTTATTATGTACTTTCAGCATTACAACTTTGCATATCGTTTGCATTCACATACAGCTACATTACACGCAATATTCGAAATGGCATAATAGGGGAACTTTAAAAGAGAAAACAGTTTTAAATTGCAGTAATATTTCACAATAGTTTTTACTTTGGTGAGCAAAAGAGACTTCTTTCAAAAACATTTAAAAAATCTTACTAAACTTGCCAAACTTTTAATTGGTAGTGTACATACTAGGTTCATACATTTGAAAACTATTATGGCAGCTTCAGAGTTGCATTCTTTGACATTTTTCTAAATTTGAAAATCACTCAAGAGATTTGACACAACCTACAGATCTCCTTCTCCTGTAATGCAATTGGTTGTGGGAAATATTATCCCAAAAAACATGCATGGATGCACAAATCTACAAGATGCACTAATCTTTTGGAAGGATATTATTTGAGTTGAGTCACTCAAAACCTTTCTGAGTTTTTGGTTTAATTCATTAGGTAATGAGAAAACTCTTACCTGCCACACTTGAAAAAGTCTTTGCAGTTTTTTTAAAATTACATATTCTTTGTGAATCTAAATGTAAAGTCTAATCGACTGTTGAATATCACATTTCACTCTAAAAATCTGTCACATTATGGCAGAAGAACAGATTGTGAACACTGTTTTTATGTTGACATCAAAGAACATGTTTTGAACACAAGCTTCGGTTTCTGTTTAATTCATAGTGAGGATGCAATGGAGTACTCAAAAGAGTTCGTCACCTCAGTCGTGTTGGGAAAAGATCTGGTCCCCAGGTAAATGAGTGTTCAGTTGTGCTTGGATGTATTTATAAGTCTGAGCAGACAGATGCTAATCTTTTGCTGTTGTGTTCGTTCAGGATTGGCCTCTCTCAACTTGAGGGCTTCCGTCGCCACTTACTTGAAGTCCTACAGAAGAGTGATAAACCAAAGGTGAACTGCTTTAACTTGCTTATTCCCAGAGTCTCGATGCGCCATCAGTTTTGTTGAAAATAACTGTTACTGTTTACTGTAACTATTATATTGATTCCATTCCAGTCAATGTGATAAAATTCTAATGAAACAAAACTGAATAACAAAGGAAAAAAACTTTACCTTGATAAATGTTTCCTTTTTTTTTCACATACCTTGCTTTGAATTTTCTTTGTTCCCCTCACTCAATGGCGTGTTTGTACACAATATGTAAGAGATGATCTACAATGACTCCCTGCGTTTGTTTTTCTTTGTTTTTGTACATTTTTCTTAATTTTTTTATGGAAGTTGCATCCATTAATGTGGCCCCATGGAGGGGTAACAGTTTATTGAGTGGAGCAACGGTGTTTGTTTTCCAAAATGTCCGTAGCCTGGAGAACTACGTTGAGTAGTTCCTCAACACCTGCCGCCATGCCAGCTCCAATGACGTCTGCCTAATGGAGGGCTTTCGGAGTGGACTGGGCGACAACATCATTTGCTTCGTCATGCCCCAGGGTGACCCATGTTGGACCCTAAAGGATTACATAAGCTTTGCACTGTGGGTGAATGGATCCACATTCACAGTGGATGAAGCGGATGTCAACTACAACATCAACGTCCAGTCTCACCTTGCAGACGTCTTGCAGCCAGACCCAGAGCTAAGCCAACTATCACCCTGCTTCGCGTAGCGTCAGCCCGATCCCACCGCAGACAGAGAGCCAGTGCCCAACGCGATCTATGAGCCATCACCGGAAGGAGCGAAAGAGCTGAGGATCGCCCCGGAGCCAGAGCCTCAAATCAAGTCCCACCATGTGCGAGAGCCGGCTATATTGCACGCGACGGTGGATTTTACAGTGGAGCGTGAGGGCGTGGAGGAAAGCCCCACCCACTGCACCACCGCTGAGGGTTAGCCAACACTGAACTCAGAAGATAATTTGGATTTATATTGTGATATGTCAATTCTTCTCCTTCGCCATCATCGTCTGTCTGTCCTGTTACGGCCAAGGCGGCCGTTTTCGAACTGTCTATCTGCCCTGACCAGTCTGTCTGCCCTATCGCGACCATGGAGGTCGTGACTGAACTGTTTGTCTGCCTTGAACTATCTGTCTGTCCTGTCTTGACTACGGAGGTCGTTATTCTGAAAAACTAAGGACTCGGTTCACTTCCAGCGACTCAGCATCCGTGTGGAAAAGTCTGAAAGAGATCACCAGCTACAAGGCACCATCCCCCAGCACTGTGGAGAATCAACAACTGGCAGACGATCTGAATGAGTTCTACTGCAGGTTTGAAAAAACACCCCACACCCGCCCTGAACACCTCTCCACACAACCATTCACACCTCCTGCAACCCCCCTCTCCCCCACACCTGCACCTCAAATCAGTGAAGATGGGGTGCGCCAGGTCTTCCGGAAGCAGAAAAGGAAAAAAGCACCAGGCCCAGATTGTGTTACACCAGCCTGTCTGAAATCTTGTGCTGACCAGCTGGCCCCCATCTTCACACAGATCTTCAACAGATCACTGGAGCTGACTATCATCCCAAACCTCCTCCTGCCCAAACTAACTCAGCTCTCTGTGCCCACCTCCGTCTGTCAGTGGATCACCAGCTTCCTGACAGACAGGCAGCAGCTAGTGAGAATGGGAAAATTCACATCCAGCACTCGTGCGATCAGCACTGGAGCTCCTCAGTGCTGCGTTCTCTCCCCACTGCTCTTCTCCCTGTACGCCAACGACTGCACCTCTAAAGACCCCTCTGTCAAGCTCCTGAAGTTTGCAGACGACACCACACTCATCTGCCTCATTCAGGACGGTAACGAGTCTGCCTACAGACAGGAGGTTAAAGAGCTGGCTGGCTGGTGCAGTCTCAACAATCTGGAGCTCAACATGCTCAAAACAGTGAAGATGATCATGGACCCGCACTCTATCTCATGAACACTTGACAATAACTGTGGAACACACAACACTATTTATACACCCATACACTTATTTATCTAACACACATACTTAGTCTACACTTCACATTTGCACATAATATACCTGTACATACAAAACTGTTTATTGTAATATACCTGCACATACAATTGTCATATATGGTTATTCCTTATTTACTTGTTCTGTTTTTTAATTTTTTATTCTTGTATCTGTGTTTTTGTTCTGTCGCTTTCATTCTGTTGCACTGCGGAAGCTTCTGTCATGAAATTCCTTGTATGTGAAAACATACCTGGCAATAAAGCTCATTCTGATTCTGATTCTGATTCCTCTGTTGATAGCGCTCCCGATGCTGGGAGTCGCTATTTGGTGTGTGGGTGGGCAGCATACACCATCCCTGAACCCCTTGACTGCCCAAAATTCCCACCCAGTCTCCCTCTCCCACCACCTGTTCACCAGTCCTCACCACCGCCTCCACTGTCCCCTGTCAGCCCCTCAGCTCACCCTCAGGCCACCATTTGTGTTGTGGGTTCACCGCGGGTCTGCCAGTCTCCATCGGTGTCATGGCTGGAGGATCCCTTGTCTCCGCCTCCAGCCTCGGAGTCCCGGACTCCGACTCGGCCCATCGACCCAGTGGCTCCACCTAGGCTCCAAGCTCCCTCGTCTCCACCGTAGCCCGTTCTTCCACCAGCTCCACCAGTCCCTCCGGCTCCGCCTTAGTCGGTCGTCGACCTGCCATCGCCTCAGGACTCCACTCCTCCAGCTGCGCCTCGTCGGACCGTCCCACCGGCTCCGTTGGGCTCCTCCCTCCCTCCAGCTTATCTGTGTTTTTGTTCTGTCGCTTTCATTCTGTTGCACTGCGGAAGCTTCTGTCATGAAATTCCTTGTATGTGAAAACATACCTGGCAATAAAGCTCATTCTGATTCTGATTCTGATTCCTCTGTTGATAGCGCTCCCGATGCTGGGAGTCGCTATTTGGTGTGTGGGTGGGCAGCATACACCATCCCTGAACCCCTTGACTGCCCAAAATTCCCACCCAGTCTCCCTCTCCCACCACCTGTTCACCAGTCCTCACCACTGCCTCCACTGTCCCCTGTCAGCCCCTCAGCTCACCCTCAGGCCACCATTTGTGTTGTGGGTTCACCGCGGGTCTGCCAGTCTCCATCGGTGTCATGGCTGGAGGATCCCTTGTCTCCGCCTCCAGCCTCTGAGTCCCGGACTCCGACTCGGCCCATCGACCCAGTGGCTCCACCTAGGCTCCAAGCTCCCTCGTCTCCACCGTAGCCCGTTCTTCCACCAGCTCCACCAGTCCCTCCGGCTCTGCCTTAGTCGGTCGTCGACCTGCCATCGCCTCAGGACTCCACTCCTCCAGCTGCGCCTCGTCGGACCGTCCCACCGGCTCCGTTGGGCTCCTCCCTCCCTCCAGCTCCCCCTTGGTCCTCAGTCGCTCCGGCTCTGCCGCGGACTCCAGGATCTCCTCCTCTGTCGCCAGAGCCGTCGGCTCCACCCTGACTCTCTGGATCCTCGCCGTCACCCTGGCTTGTCGGCTCTCCGTCTCCGCCTGGGGCTCCACCCCCGTCGGTCGGCCCCCTGGAGTCGTCAGCCCTTCCTCCACCATGGCTCCTCCCTCTGTCGGCTCCACCGTGGGCCAAATTCATGGCTGCGGTCTGGGTCCCACCTAGCTCCTCCTGCTCCTGCTCCCTCATGTCTCTTCCCGGGCTCCTCCCTCCATCGTCGCCGCCCTGGTTATCTGCCTGCCTCTATTCCTGCCCTTCGCCACCACTTTGTCTGCGAGGTCACGCCTTCGGGGAGGGGGGAGCTATGTCACACCACATAGACTTTTAGTTTGTTTTCTTCCCTCATGTGTTCCTTGATCTAGTTTTCCCTCATGTCTGATTATGTCATTATGTTCATGGTTGTCTTATTAATTATCTTCATTTGCCTGTGTATTTAAGTTCCTGTTTGTTCTGTTAGTGTTTGTTGGGTATTGAACGTCGAATATACGTGTGTTTCCAGCCTTCCTTTTGTGGATTTCCTTATGTGGATTATTAAATCTTAGATCTTCATCATTGTGCGTATTTATTCTACACTGTATCGTGACAGAGACAAGAAGTGGTTTATTTTGCCATAATGACCAGTTGATTGTACATTGAAATAAATATGTAAATTTGTACAAATATGTACAGAATTAAGCATTCTAGAGGGTCCATGCATGTGGGAAATGGCGCAGTAGCATTTATTATCACTGAATCATGCCAGTAATTAACTGCCCTCATTATATCTGTCGCATTGCGCTTTCCCCATATCATTTTCCTCTGGGCGATTAAAGTAAATGATAAATTGTTACGTTACTAATTATAACCACAGATGTGGGATTTTTTTTGCACTGCAAATTGATTTTTCTTTTTTACATCTCTTTTCTAGTTCAGTAATTGGAACATTAATCTCTTTTCTCAAGGTTGTGGCTTTGAGCCTAACAATTGGGTGCAGTTTAAAAATACACTACCATTCAAAGGTTTGGAGTCAGTAAGATGTTCAAAAATTGGTGGTCAGTAAGATTTTTTTTAAGATATTTAACTAGTTCACCCAAAAACTTAAAATTTCTGAAAATGTACTCACCCACAGGCCAGAGTTTGTTTCTTCATTGTAACAGATTTGGAGAAATGTACAATGTTTACATCACTTGCTTACCAGTGGATCCTCTGCAGTGAATGGGTGCCGCAGTAAAACCACAATAATCCACAGGTAACTCCAGTCCTTTAGTTAAGATCTTGTGAAGTGAAATGCTGCATGTTTGTAAAAAACAAATCCATCTATACGTTTCAACCTTCAAACCGTTGCTTCCACTAAAAAGTCATCTATCCATAATGTTGCTTTCTCCAGTGGAGAAATTGTCTCGTCTCAATCAGGAGAGAAATATGCACAGATCAAGCACGGTTTACAAGCAAAACACTCCAAAATAGTTCTAAACAAACATGTCGGTGGATTTTAATGGGGCTGGACTTTTCAATTGGAGGAAGCGTTATCATGGATTATGGACTCATAATTTATTTCTTACAAATACGCAGCTTTTCACTTCACAAGACATTAACTAATGGACTGTGGATTGCTTGTGGATTATTGTGATGTTTTTATCAGCTGTTTGGACTCACATTCTGACGGCACCCATTCACTGCAGAGGATCCATTGGTGAGTGATGTAATGCTAAATTTCTCCAAATCTGTTCTGATGAAGAAACAAACTCATATACGTCACGGATGGCCTGAGGGTGAGTAAATTTCCACACAAAAAAAATCATTTTTGGGTGAACTATTCCTTTAAAAAAAAATCTTACTTATCAGAAACTTTTGAACAGAACTGTACTTTATATTAGGGCTTACATAACTCATAGTAGACCAGCTGTCCGGAAAGTAGTCACCTACTCAGTTTAGCTTATATAAATGACTCACCATAAAGCTTCAGCGAACTTCCTTTGCTGTTTCTATCAAATCCAACACTGCGCTGACGTGCAGCTGAGATGATGCATGTAAGAAATGAAAGCGTACACACCTCCATTGCCAGATTAACGCTGCTTGCATCATGAACAGCATCTTATATCTCACTTTTTTTTTTTTGCCAGCCTCTGATTAGTTTCAAGGAAGTTTGTGAGAAATTTGGCCACTATGTGATGCATTTCTGCTCATTAATGTGCATAATCACACTGCCTACTTTGCTGGTTAGCTGCTCTCAGCAGGAAATTATGCTTGAAATGCTGCCTGCGTAGGCAGCTAATTTCTCCAAATCTGTTCTGATGAAGAAACAAACTCATATACGTCACGGATGGCCTGAGGGTGAGTAAATTTCCACACAAAAAAAATCATTTTTGGGTGAACTATTCCTTTAAAAAAAAATCTTACTTATCAGAAACTTTTGAACAGAACTGTACTTTATATTAGGGCTTACATAACTCATAGTAGACCAGCTGTCCGGAAAGTAGTCACCTACTCAGTTTAGCTTATATAAATGACTCACCATAAAGCTTCAGCGAACTTCCTTTGCTGTTTCTATCAAATCCAACACTGCGCTGACGTGCAGCTGAGATGATGCATGTAAGAAATGAAAGCGTACACACCTCCATTGCCAGATTAACGCTGCTTGCATCATGAACAGCATCTTATATCTCACTTTTTTTTTTTGCCAGCCTCTGATTAGTTTCAAGGAAGTTTGTGAGAAATTTGGCCACTATGTGATGCATTTCTGCTCATTAATGTGCATAATCACACTGCCTACTTTGCTGGTTAGCTGCTCTCAGCAGGAAATGATGCTTGAAATGCTGCCTGCGTAGGCAGCTCACTAGGTTTTGGAATAGAGCCTGTATGTTTCTCTCTGTTTGTTTCAGTGGCGGATTATTGCTGGGGGTACGAAGTGCATCCCTAAATCAGAGCTACCCCTGGATGACGAAGCTCCTGTATCACAGGGCGTGACTCCCTCTAACTCTCGCCTGTGGCTGCATCCCAGTGACCTGAGCATCGCCCTGTCAGCCTCCACGCCGCTGTATCCACCGGGACGGGTCATTCATGTGGTGCACAACCACCCGCCTGAGATGTGGTGAGTAGAGAGACCCCTCTGTAAATTGTAAATTGAATGGATTGATGGAACAAGAAAATGGGTGTCTGCTTTTCAGATGTAGGGTACGTTCCAGTGGCCCAGTACAATATTGAAATGTCTGGCTCCGAGAAATGCCAGTTTTATAGATTCTGCTTGTTTAGATTTACTGCTTCTTTGTTAATTTAGCTGTAGGAAAAGATATCAATGGGCACATGAATAAAATGAAATATATTGGGGTGACAGTTGACAAATCGTGGTTGTAGTTTAAAAATGTACACTATTGTTCAAAAGTTTGGATTCAGTAATGTAGCCTCACCAAGGCTGCATTTATTTGATAAAAAATGCAGTAAAAACAGTAATATTGTGAAATATTATTGCAATTTAAAATAACAGTTTTCTATTGTAATATATTTTCAAATGTATTTTATTCCTGTTATCAAAGCTGAATTTTCAGCATCATTACTCCAGTCTTCAGTGTCACATGATCCTTCAAAAATCATTCTAATATGCTGATTTACTGCTCAAGAAATATTTCTTATTATCATTGTTGAAACTAATTGTTATGCCTAATATTTTTGTGGAAAAAGTGATGCCTTTTTATGGTTCTTTGGATAAAAAAGTTTTTGTGTGTGTGTGTATTGTGTACAAGTCTTTCATTATTGATCAATTTAATGCAGCCTTGATGAATATAAGTATTTATTTATTTATTTAAAGAAAGCAAATCTTACTGACCTTAAACTTTTGAACAGTAATATAAGTACTAGTAAGTATAATCAATATTTGTAATATCTGTTTTCTCTTGGACAAATTCTTCAGCCATTTGCAGCGTTTCCATTCGCATTGTCCTTTACAAAGATGTTTTAAAAAAAAATTAAACCTCATCTAATGTTGAACAGTTCATTTCTTGATTTGTCATACATTTTTTGCTTTCTTTGATGGCAGTTGGAGGTCTACAAAAAAATACAGGTCTATTAAAATGCAAATGTTGCTAAGATAATAATTGTTTAATGTTTGTAAGTTACAGATACAAATTTTTCCTCTCTCAAAATTACTCTTATAAGAAAAATATTATTTAAAGTCATAATTTCAATCATGCAAAATAGACAAATAATAACACATGGCCTCTGTGGACTTCCATATGTTTGGAAATAGTTTTTGTAATTCCATTCGGTGCTGCTATGAGGAGTGGGACCTTTTATTTCTAGCAATGAATACTATTTGTTTCCAGTAATGAACTTTGAATGTGTCACATCCTGCATTTATCAGAGTCAAAGTTTCGCTAGAGTCTACACAGTTTTACTGTAAGTCTGAGATTCCTCATACCATCTCTCTCTCTCTCTAGTTGTGGTCAGGAAGAGCCCACTTACTCCGCTCTGTGGGGGGATAACAAGGCCTTTGATGAGGTTATCATTTCTCCAGCCATGCTGAATGAACACATGCCCCATGTGGTGATGGATGGCCTCAACAAGGTGTGTGTTTTTGTATGTGCGTGCGTTTTTGTGCATGTTTTTCTGTCTAACTCTTGCTAAATGCAAAGTCAGTGATTGGGTAGCTGATGAAATGCCATTCTGGGCAAATCTGAGTAACACTGGATCCAGCATATATAAATGCAATAATAATATTCAATAAAACAGTAAACTTTCCACTAGGACTGGAGAATGCATAAAATATTTACAAAATAAATACAGTGATTTTGCATTATTAAAATTGTGTGAGGATTTTGATGCCATTGCATTTTGAAGTTATCTCATTAGTCTAGTTTTGGGATCCTTGCTTGGCTCTTGACTCTTATATGATTATGAGAGCATTAAGACAAAGATGTTGCTTCTGATTAAACTTTAGTAACAACATTTGAATTGGCAAGTTTGATTAATTTCTCTAATTCAGTTCAGACTGTCCATTTCAGTCAACTGATTCAAAAATCAAAACAATGATTAATTTGCATCATCACTCAAAAAACAAGTCTCTGTGTGGTTAGAAATGCTTTTTTATCAATTAGATTTGTGCTGTATTTAAACATTTTGAATCATAGTTCTTTGATTAGGAAAAAATTACACCTTTTAAGCCATTTCAGAGGAAATACTATCAAGAAATATTGCATTTATATATCTCAAAGTAATTAAAAATCGCTAAATAATTAAAATAGTATTTATAAATTATTATTGTCATAAAATATGTGTTATATAATATATTTTAAAATGTAATTTATTCCAGCAGCCATTACTCCAGTCTCACTTGATCCTTCAGAAATCATTCTGTTACTTTTGATCAATTTAATGCATCTTGCTCAGCCCTGTAAAATAACATGTAACATACAGTAAGTACCAGTGGATTCTGGTGTGCCCAGATCTGCCTTTGTTTTCGGAATGGCTTTGGGGTCAATGAATCAGTTGCTTGTAAGGCTTTTGGGCTGCAGTGGACAGGTATACTGTATGTGTTGCAGGTCTGTGTCAAAATCTTAGTCACAATGTGTATTCTGTCTGGATATAAAGGTCTGTCTTTGTTTTTGTCCCCTGAAACTGCCGTCATTGGGATTCCACAAGCATAAAAGCATTTCTGGCATGGCTGTTCCTTCTTCTTATTGCTATTACTATTGCTCATATTTAAGGTTAGGGGTTTGTTCGGAGCCCTAATCCTAAATATTAAACTTTGGGTGCATAACTTGTCTTGCTACAAATCTAGTTGCTCTTAATTTGGGCTGTCATACCGTTTTGTTTTCTTCTGAAAGTATGTTCTTTTGTTCATATGTCTGTTGTATGGTAATGTGTTGGTTTGTCTTCACAGGTGCTGGAAAACCCATATTTAATTTCAGAACTGATTGCTGCACAGGTTGGAAGCCAGAGAACTAGCATCCAAGCGTGTGTTTCTGTCCCTAACGCACTCCCAGATCCCTCTCTAACACCTCTCTGTTCAGATGAATGTTTTAAGGTTCCAGAAACATGCTCTGCTTCTCGAACTCCTCACAGTGAAACGGTTTCTGTCCAACCACGAGGTTCAGACACTCACAGGAACGGTTTATCACTCGATAACACTGTCAGTCTTCAAGCAACTTCCAAGTCAAACCCTCAAAACACTATCACAGAAACTCTCACACCTGTAATGTCTGTTACTGTAGATACATCTTCCATTAGTTTAGATATAAAGCCAGGAGACACTTTTTGTGCCCTTCAACAACCAACAACATGTCCATCTCAATCTGAATCCCCAACGGTTGCATGTGCTCCCAAAAACATTGGCCAGTCCAACATTACATTAACCTCTACAACATTAGAAATGCCCTCATCTGTCCAAGACTCAGCCATCCCCTTTAATGGCTCTATATCTTCCAAAATGACAGATGTATCTGTTCCTGAGTCCCGCTCTCAATTCCAGAAGACAACTTCCCAAAGCATCACTCCATTTCCAAACACATCAGATTCCCCTTCTCCCCCAGAGTTCCTGTTGAAAACCAGCATAAATCCAGACTTTTCAGAGATCCCCTCAGCCGGACTAATGTCTAAAAGCACATCGGCTGAACTCTCAGCGGAGAACAGTTCTACAAAATCCTCAGTCTTTGATAACACACCTTTAACTTCTTCTCAGTCTAGATTGAGTTCCTCGACTGCCCGATCTGAGGAGACCACTTTTAGTGCCACGTGTTATATCTCAAGCCTCTGATATACACTACTGATCAAAAGTCTGGGGTCAGTTTATATATATATATATATATATATATTTAAAGAACTTAATACTTTTATTCAACAAGGATGCATTCAATTGTTCAAAAGTGACAGTAAAGACATTTATTAAACCAATTCTATTTCTAATAAATGCCATTTTGTAACTTAATATTCATCAAAGAATCCTGAAAAAAACATCAGTTTCCACACAAATATTAAGCAGCACAACTGTTTTCAACATTGATAATAAAAAGAAATATTTCTTGAGAAGCATATTAGAATTATTACTGAATGAAAATGTAAATAAAACAATTAAAATGTAAAATATATTCAAATAGAAAGCCGTCAATTGTAATACTTTTACTGTATTTTTGATTAAATAAATGCAACCTTGGTGAACATAATATAGTTATTTCAATTTATACAATAAAATCTGACCAACCCCAAAGTTTTGAATGGCAGTGTAATGTACAGTACAACCAAATGCATGTGCTTTCTTCCTTTCAGCTAATAATCTCTGTTCCTCGCTGCCAGAAACATCCATCAGCTCGAGCTTTGGGCATCTGTGGTGTCTTTCTCTTCCTTTCTGCAGGTTCCTGGTCTCTCTATCAGTTCTTCTTAACTTCCTGTTTTGGTCTCTGGTTTATGCTTTAGCAGTTTGCAGCAGGATTTTCATGGCAGCTCCTGTCCCTCTATATGTGCCTTGAGGTTGTCACCTAGTCTTTTATGTTTGGTGTATTACTCTTGGAGGTGGATTTAGGCCTGTGGGGCTTCTTGCGGTGGGCATAAACCATTTGTTTACCCTGCTTATTGGTGGTGGTAGTTCTGCCTCAGAGGGTACAGTTAAAGGAACAGTGAACATTGTGTCATCATTTACTCACCCTAATGTTGTTCCAACATGCATGACCAGGATAAAAATCTCCTTGTGTGTTTATAGTGGAATGTGTTTTTTTGTTTGTTTTTTTTGCTCTAATATTGAAGAAAAATCTGTGAAATTCTGCAGAAAATGTGCTAAATGGACCATTGGATTAAAAATCTATATTTACTCTCTAATCATTTGACCTAACATGCACTTTACTGTTCATTCAAGACACTTTTTTTTTAACTGAAATGTATACAGTTGCTCTTATTTTAAGTAAATGGTTTTGTGCAATTATTCTGTTATTGTTTGTAGTATGTAGGTTTTTTTTTTTTTTGCATGGTACATGTACATCATTGTTTTACACACTTTCTTCCATTGCATTTCATTATATCCATTTACTTATATTTGTCTCTAATTTACTGATTATTGTCTCTAACTCTATACATACTCATGTTTACACACATTAATAAAGAAATATGCATTATCATCTCGCGGCTGTTGGACTTCTACCTTTGTTGTTCCACTCAACTTTGTCCTTGTTGATTGTCCTGCAGGATTTGTGTTCATCATGCACATAATACAGATCATTTTATGTCACCGTGTAATTGTGTTTAAAATTATGAAATATTCTTATGTAAAGTGTTACGCTTGATGGCTCAGTTACACTTGGTGTCAAAAAATAAATAAATAATGAAAAGTGAAAAACCTGTTATAAAGGGATTTTTAATTGAATATCAAAAGCATTAAATCTTCCTAGTATGTTTCCAAAGTATTTATTTTGATAGTTTTGTTCAAAGAAATTTATGCTTCAATAATCTGTATTTAACATTGCAACAAATTAATATGTGATAGAATGTGTATCTTAAAATTACGCTTTTCCTTATAAAAATGTTTTGAGGTGCATTTATTTCGTCTTGATATCATATAATACATAAATAAAAAGTTTCACAATTTCAAGTAGGCTGTGAGAACTGTTTGTTTCTGTCTATTCATTCACTTATTCATGTATATATTTTTATCTACCTTGTGTTTCTCTTTTCCTCTATGTCCTGCAGGTTTTGGAAAACTATAATAAAGGGAAGACAGCTTTATTGTCTGCTGCTAAGATAATGGTTAGTCCTACAGAAGTGGACCTGAATCCAGAAACAGTTTTCCTCGATGCCTCTAGTTCACCGCAGCCCACGCCTGCCACACATCACCGCAGAAACAGTAGTGTCCGGTGAGTCACGAGAGCCAATCAGTGTTTGAAACAAGCTGACTGACCAATCAGACCATACCAATGAGTGATCAATGATGTAGATTTTCCTTAGGTGTTTTTAAGCATTTCTTATCATTTGATTTTAACACTATTGCCTGTCCTTCTCACTCATGCCGACTGCAGAGGTACAGTGTATGGTACTATACAGTTCCCCCCTCGTCCTCTTTGGTTCAGTAGAAAAGATCAGCCTAGACGTTAGTCACGTTAGTGTTGCCTAACCATAATCCGCCCTTTTTTTCCCCTCTTTCTAAATTTGTCCTTCTTTTTCCTGTTCTCTGCTCTATTTTTGAACGTGTTTATTTATATATATATATATATATATATATATATATATATAATATTTAATGACATTTGTATTATATCATTTTTTATATTTTTATTTTTTTGAGTTTCTTTTAACAAATATTTTTTTCTGTTTTTCCATCAAACTATATATATATATATATATATATATATATATTCTCCTAATTACTCACGGGTTTTTTTTCCTCCCTGCTATCACACTTTTATTTAATTCCCTGATTTTATTTGTCATCATCCTTCTCTTTCTACCCTCCATGCGTGCTGTCTGTTTCTCTGGTCTCTGTTTATTTTCTCTACATGCTACTCTACTCCTGTGCCCACTTCCTGTCCTGTCCTGCTGTAGTTCCTGTGCCCGCTCTGAGATCTCGCTGGATGGCTTCTCGGAGTGTCCGCCTCCTCCTGTGCCCGTGATGCTCCCCGGAGCCCGTGAGCGATTGGCCGTGGAGCTACGGGAGCGAAAAGCCCCCTTGGCCATCATGGAAAGTCTTTCTGATGCCGAATCCGTCTACAGCTTGGACTCCCGACGATCATCTGCCGCCCTGAGAGGCTCGCCCTGTCTGGGGAGTCTACCTTTCCCTTTGGATGCCACCATCCCTGAAGAGAACCCGTCGCTGAGCTCCCGCACGGAGCTGCTGGCTGCAGATGGCTTGGACCATGAATTGGGGGAGGCCGGCCCATTCTGCCCTACTCCTCCAGAACTGGAAGTACCTTCCAATGACACCCGCATCAGCAGGCACTTCTCTCCGCTCTCGCTTGGACAAACTATCGTGAATCAGCCGGCCAGCCCGGGCAAGAAGTTCCGGCGGTCTTCAGGAACACCTGTGGCTTGCCAGCCATCAGCTGTTCCTAACAGTCAAGAATCCTGCCCAGTAGCATCCCGGACTGGTTCTATGCCAGAAACGCCCAAGGATAGAGTGTTTGAAGAGGAAGAGGTCGAGAGCGGCCGGTCCCAGACTCTTCCACCAGTTCCGCCGCTGTCCAACGGCACTCCCAGTCAGGCGGTCCTAGAGTTCGCCCAGTACCTGGACTCTCTGTTTAGGCTCGACGGCAGTAGCTCTCCACCTCTCGAGCTGTCCGATGCAGAATCCGAGTCTGGACGGGGATCGTACAGTCAGGCTGAGGGACACCATGCAGATCAGCATGGGAAAGACACGGACAAGGACAGGCAGCTACTGGCTAGAGCTACTTTAGAGCCCAACTTGGTCCCAAAGCCCCCTCGCACGTTTGCCGGCTCGGCTGACCCTTCCTCCGGCATCTCGCTTTCTCCATCCTTCCCGCTCTCGTCCTCTGGAGAACTCAACGATTTCTCTCCTGCTGATGGAGTGCTACCCGCCAACCATACGTCTACGCTACGAACTTCCGCTGCTAGTCCCAACCCCAAGGAAACTGCGTTGTCGTCTATGGTGTAGTTGCCCACTTTCCACAGCGCACTGCTCTCCTTTTCCATCTATTTATTTTACCCTATGGTCTCCTTTCCCAAAACTCTTCTTTGCTCCTTCTGAACCGATTGTAGAAACGTGCATGCGTAGCAACGCGGCCAGTCCAAGACTTCCAGACTTCTGGACCATTAAGGATTCATCAAGAACAGAAGACCTCATTTTGTACTATTGTAAGACATGCATTGTGTCTTGTGCGTCACTATTATGAAATGTCCTAATCGCTGCCTGCAACACACAAGGGGCTGAGAGGCTCCTTCAAACACTAAAGACGTTGCTAGCATATTGAGAAGCTTGCACAAATGACCCTACGTTCACATTGAATCTAATGTTACGGTTATGTTTACATTGACACTACAGAACACCAAGCTATCAAAAAGGTTGGCAGTTTCATATAAGGGAAAGGCTGGGATAGGAAAAAGGGAAGACTAACTATCTTAATTGAGTTACGGGGAGGGGCGCACACAACAAGCAGTGGGGTACATTTCCTCAGGACCTTGAAGAATGAAGAATGGGACAAAGACATCTCAGGCGAAGGATAATAAATTGTTCTTTTTTTTAATTGTACTTTTTCATTTTTTAATCAATGATTGTGTGGAATCCTGCTGAGTATGTGTAATTGGTGGCACTGACGGTTGGTGGACATCTATGAGTTCTCGATGTGCATGAGAAAATGCTGTATGCTCGTGTAAAACGTTTCATTTTGCGAACTTTTGTCATCTCTTATTTACATAAATCCACTTGAATTCACGCATGCAGGTTTTGTATCGTTTCTTTTTTCACCGATTGCCAAAAAAGCCAACTTCATACAAGTCAAACGTTTGAACTCTGTGAAATTAATATATAATGATTTACTGTTATTGTTATTTATTTTTACAAACCACTGCCCGTGAATGCAAATGACATCAGGAAGAGTTGTTGAATGGTGAGATGTGCACCAGTCACAAAATGCGCCCTTTAAATGGCTCGCCTGAATCTGCGATGTCTTTTACGCAGCACGAGACGCTTCCTTCGAGAAAAGTCTCTTTCGGTATGGTGTGCAATCAGTAGCAAAATAAGCATAGAGAGATTTCTTCTCATCTGCTTTTTTAAAAATCATTTCTACTGTTGTTGCTATAATACAATGAATAGTGGTTTATCTCAATGGCGAAATATTTTAATAACTTCGACTTGCTTTTTTTATATCGTTTCAGGATGAAGTGTTTGAGTTTTTGGGTGGATGTGTGAAAAAGTACAGCGGTTTGTTACAACAGAGCTTCGTGGGTCACAAATGCGTCAAGTATTTTATTTTGCATGCTGTCGATTGTTTTATATCACAATTCCAATGCTATCATGTTTTGATTGCATGTAATAACTTGTTAATAATTGGTTATAGGTTCTGCATGTTCCCAATTCGTCAGTCACTGACGTAACGTTGAACGTGACTGACTGAATGGGAACCAAACTTGCCACTTCTTCGTTTGAGATTTTTTTCTAATGTAGATTTAATATAAATGATCAAAGGTTTGGCATATATACCCAAAAAAATGACTTATTTTCCTGTTCTTTTATTGCTGCTTTACTAAATAACTCATAACTTAAGCTGTGACTGCTGTACTTTTTCACAAAAAGTTGTGTATAGCACTGCCTTTTCACGTGAGTGTAAATACTGTCTTGTTTCCAGTCGTTGTGTTAAAAAAAATAGATATAAAATCAATGGGACTTATAAATAAAAAAATCCCTGTCATGTACCATAGTGATGACTTTATCTCAAATGTATAGCTATATTGATATATCTACAGTTTAAATTATAAATAGAGAAAAATGATGACTATTCAGGAATGAAAATCTAATCATGTGGCCATATGCTGACTTCAGAAAATGTATAACGATTGAACATTCATTCTTTAAAAAAAGAAAAGAAAACTCTTTTCATGTTTGTCACTACCCTGCCAGTCTTTCAACTTTCAAGAATGAGAATGTATTTAAATGCACACACTTACACTGCCCTGCCTGTAATAGAATAAAATATCTGGATCTCTGACTGACTTTGTTTCTCTTTACTCTGTTTATTAAACTGTCTAGGGCGATTGTGCTTGAATGTTTTATTAACTTAAAGTTTACTTTAATGGCATTATAATATTCAATTCATTTTAATTATAAAAAAAAATAAAATTACAATTACAAAAAACTTGAAAAATAAAGACAATATAAAAACATTAAAATATGAACAATACACACTTAATAAATATTCATAAAATTCTATTGAGTATTTTCCTCTTTAAATGTAAATCACTGACCATTTGTTAAGAAAATATTTTCAAGAGTTTAAAATGCGTGCAATGTCTGTTTTACAATGATTTTAGTCTGTCCCACCTCAGAGGTCTTGATCTTCTTGACTGTCTAATAATTAAAATCAAACAAAGTTTTCATTATTTTTACAATCTGTTGATATTCAAATTGATACTCAATTTATTATAACTATATAGACAAAAAGCTGATTTCAAAGACAATAAATATTCCTCGTGATCTGGACCCTTTCTACACCATGATGAAAAATCATGAAATAAAAAAAAAAGTTCAAACCTAATAGTGTTTTTAGGAATTGTAAAATAATAATAAAAAATCCCCCATATTTACATGTATGTAGACTAAATGCTTTTTGTGTGTGTGTGTGTGTGTGTGTGTGTTTGTGTGTGTGTGACAGAACATATGCCAAGGAAAAGAGCCAGGGGTTCAAGGATTACCAAACAATATACAGCAATTACTAATCAAAAGAGAAAGAGTAGAAAAATGAGTAAGTAAATGAGAAAAAATAAGATAAATAAAATAAACAGATCCCGCAACAAAAAACATACTCTTCCCTCAAAACATAAAATAATTATCAGATAAAAAATTATACAAAAACACCAAAAAGTGAGCATACTTTCAAAGTTTTAGTTGCCTTTTTGTTACAGGAGGTAGATGAAGATTTAATATAAATTTTAATATTTTCTTGAAAGTAAGAGAAGCTGGGGGTAACTTTCATAACCTTCCATTTGTGGATAGAATATTTTGCAAGCAAAATAATTAAGATGCCGAGAAAGTAAACATTTCCATATTGCTTCTCAAAAGTGAAAATTCCAAACCAAACAATCCTTAAAGGGGTCATATGCGATTTTACTACAATAACTTCTGAAAAACTTGCCTAATTCAAATTTAAGCAACTCCCAATGTTTGCCATAAACCCGTTCTGCTTTGGCTTTAGTCCAAAATAAATGAATTAATTCCTTTACCTTAAGAGTAACGGTTTCATGCTTAAGTACAGAACTATTACGTTTCCAATAGGAATTATACATTTTAGAAGACGAGATTGGCAGTAAATCAATATGGATTCATATTGCTTTGTGATCAGTTACCGGGGTAGATAAAATATCAGTATGTGAGGATGTTTTTAATTTTTTAATTTTTTTATTAGACATTAAAGACATAACATGCAACATTTACAACTTTTAACAAGACATCCAAAAAGATAACACAATTAAAGGAATGGGTTTACATTACATAGAAAAAAAATCAATTAAAAAAATCAATAATAATACTTAAAGAAAAAAAAGACAGCATATACCCGTTCAATTTTCAAGTAACTTCAACTCTTTAGCGAATAAAATTGTATCTCTATATTTTTTGTTATCAATACATTGGAGAGACTCAGAATACAAATGAAAATAAATCATAAAGAAAAACCTTCAAACAGGGTTTAGAACTATTTCTTTTACTTTTATGAATATGAAATTTACCAAATAAAATCATTAGATTCATCATAAAATTGACAGATGCATTTTTTGATTCAAAATATAAGATAACATCTGTGGATGTTAATTCACAATTATAACCAGATTTCTGTTGAGTATATATAGATAAATCGTCCCAGAGTTTTTTTGGAAAAATTGTATCTCTATATTTTTTGTTATCAATACATTGGAGAGACTCAGAATACAAATGAAAATAAATCATAAAGAAAAACCTTCAAACAGGGTTTAGAACTATTTCTTTTACTTTTATGAATATGAAATTTACCAAATAAAATCATTAGATTCATCATAAAATTGACAGATGCATTTTTTGATTCAAAATATAAGATAACATCTGTGGATGTTAATTCACAATTATAACCAGATTTCTGTTGAGTATATATAGATAAATCGTCCCAGAGTTTTTTTGGAATGGAGGTAAAATTAAAAAAAAAAAAAAAAGATGGAGAATTCTTTCTGGCTGAGCTGAACAAGATTTTTCATCAATATACATACATTTTGATCAAGTATAGTAACTAACATAAATATTATGAAGTACTTTCAGATGTATTTCCCGAAGTTTGTTAGATATACAAAACCGAAACGGAAGAAGCCAAGCTTTTTTTTTCAAATAATCTTTGGAAAACAAAAAAATGTCCCTAGGCTTAATAGATCTCTTTTCATAAAATAGATTTCTAATCAATTTATTTGTGCATTTTTACTGTTAATGTCCACCCCATTTAAATTAAGAACAGGTTCAGTTCTACAAATGTTAAGGGACAACATATGGCTTCTCATTAACTTCAATAAACCTGTGGGAATGGCGTTTATTACAGAATAATATCCTCTATATTTAACTTTTTATTTTATTTTTTTATTGATTTCCAACATATAATATAAAGGTACTGAACAAATATAAACTACAAAAAAGAAATAGAAAATATACAGTATTATATAAATAATGCTTTACTGTTTTTCAACCCAAGTAGTAACTCAATATAATTTTTCATGTCTATCTGAAATAACAAAAAGTTGGGTTTTCCTTTAGCCCATTTCTGTTTATGTTTATGGTATTTGCCCATAATCAAACAAAGATTAACAATAAAGGCCACATTTGGTGGTAATCTTTGTCTATTAAAATAAAAAAATACATATTTTTTCAGAAAAGTACACTTTCACGCCTAAGCATTTACAAAGGAAACATTCCAAATCTATCCAAAACATTTAGCTATAAATGCAGTTACAAAATAAGTGCACAACATTTTCTTTCTCAGTCCCACAGAAATCACATATAACATCTACATCAGTACGAAACCTAAGAAAAAGAGTTTTAACAGGGTACACCAGATGGAGTATTTTAAAATATACTTCTCTCGCCTTATTTGTTATGCAATATTTTTTAGGCAGCAACCATGCATATTTCCAGTCAATGCACTCAAATTTAGAATGCCAGTATGTTTTAGAAGATATTGGGCTGTATTCTGTTAGTAACTTCCTGATAAAGTAATTATTCCATTTTCTATCATTAATAGTAACTCTGTTAATTGCAACATCAGGTCTGAGACTCACAGTCTGCTTATTCACATTTCCTTTAAACAGACATCCGGATGGTATAGCATCAAACACTAAACAATATTCTTTAGGGATTATTGGAATATTATACCTTTGAAGAAATTCTCTGTAGATATAAAGGTGCCCATTTTCATTAAATAACTGTTTAACAAATATAATACCATTGTCTACCCATTTTTGAAAAAAACGAAGTTTTATGTTTAAACATTATATACCCGTTATTCCAAATTATACATTTATTTGGAGAGAAATGTGAGGATGTTGTCTTTTTGTTTTTTTGTTGCTTCAAACAGATTAACAAAAGATTTTAACATATAGATACAACACAACCTACTCGCATTAATACAATCATACAACTTACAGGAAAAAATTTTTTTTATAAAAATGATAAATAAAACAGATATTTCTTTCTTTTCCCTAGAGACACGTTTAGAAAACAAATGAGTTGCAAAGCATAGCGGGACATTATTTTTCAAAGAATTTCTCCATAAAATTGAACAAAATGTCACTCTTCGTGTTGTTAATGAACACTGAAGGCTTTTGCAGATGTGAGGTTTTGTCGGTGCTGGGTCACCGTAGAGAGTGACGCAGCAGTGACGCGGCGGGTCTGTAATAAGGATCCGCTCAGTCAGCGGCACTCAGCGGCACTCTCTTCATCACATTCTCCCGACGGCGCTGAGACATGGACTCGGACGAGGGCTATAACTATGAGTTTGATGATGAAGAGGAGGAGGAGGAAGAGGAGGAGGAGTGCAGCGAGGACAGCGGGGAAGAGGAGGCCGAGGATGAGGAGCTGGGCGAGGTGGAGCTGCTGGACCCCGCCGTGGCCGGAGGAGAGCCCGACGACTGCGGTGACACCGGCGGCCTGGGGCCCGGCCACGACGATGAGGACTACCGCTTCGAGGTGCTGACCACCGAGCAGATCCTCCAGCACATGGTGGAGTGCATCAGGGAGGTCAACGAGGTCATACAGGTAGATAACCCGTCTCTGGAAGTTTGTTTACGTTATATGGAGAACTGGCGCTGTTAGCATTTAGCATTTAGCATTAGCGGCTA